GCAGTTGTCACGCAATTATATCATGCTATAATATTCTTTAATTTGATTCTACTATTGTTATGTAATAATTTTACACAGATATAAATAAATAAAGTCGGTTCTCTCTCTAATAAATAATAATCAACAGTTTGAAAATTATAAGTCTATTTACAATTAAAATACATATTATATATTATGTATTGGAGACTGAGGATTTTTTTTGCAAATTAAAAAATGGTTACGTTCAGCAGAAAACAATAGTTTTATAATCGTTTTATGATTATCTGCTGAGATAGGATCATTTCTCTAGAGTAAAAAATATAATTTAATCAAAAAGCGAAGAAAACTTCCAACAGTTGTAAAGTAAATGTTTTGCTAAACATAGCCATTAGAATTCAATCAGATAATTTTATAAAAAATTATTTTATAATTTTAGTCCATATCATTCTGATTGTCTGGATTTTAATCTTCAATTTGCAATCCTCAATCTTCAATACGTAATGAAAACACACGCGGATTTAAGCCGAGTTTCAATATATATATATTGCCACTGAAAAGTTGGTGCCAGTCTTGGAAAAAAAATTACTAAAAGTCACTTTTCAATTAATAATGTCATTTTGTTATTTTGTTATTTTGATTTGTTTTGCTTGGACTTGTACTTTAAATGAAATATCAAATATAATGAAAAAACTAGTTTTATTCATAAAGTTTATAAAAAATGTATATGTTGAAATAAGGATCTATATATATTTGATACTTGACAAAAGGAGAAGGAAATTTTTTCTGCAGCCCGCTCTAACGATGAAAAAAATAAATCTTATTTTTTACAATAAAATATTACTCGGTTTTTCGAAATACACGAGAAGATTCGAATACGATGGATACGGCAACGTCGCGTCTCTTCATTGGTTGTCGGTCGGCTCTGGTGGCGACCGCGTGCAACTACCGTCGGCGCATTGGGTTGACACACAGACGCAATAAATAGCGGACGCAACACGTGAACGAGTTGTTCGCGAGTCCCGCGATAAATGTCATGCCGAGCATCACGCTGACAATCTCACGTCGCTTTTGCGCCAGCTGATGACGAACGATTACAAGATTTGCGCATAAACGTTCGCCTGTGAACAATCGCAGCCGTAACGCGTTTCTCTACTCCGGTGACGACGACGACGACGTCGTGTTGTCCCTATCAGAATGCGTGTTGACACGTGCATCCTGCTGTTGTACCTGCCGCTTGCAATTTTCGGCAGCGCTGAAAAAAACGAGAGCGCTTTCGTGGCAACGCACGAATGGCAGACGGTGAAAAAGGGTAAGTATCTCATCAAGGTCGTATCCGCAACCGTGGGACTACTTTACGCCGATCGAGATCCATCGCTCTGTTTGACACCACGTCAGTCAAATCCGCTGTACGTGCAGCCCTTCCGCGGCGAAAATGCAACAATCCAATCCTTCCGACATTCCTAAAGAAGACAGCACAGTCTTGTGTAATGCGAGAATTTTGGAGATTACTTCGTGTTGTTTTAAATAAGGAATCGCGACAGAAAGAGAGAGAGAGAGAGAGAGAGAGAGAGAGAGAGAGAGAGAGAGAGAGAGAATTCTGTGATCGTCCTGTCCGAATGGTTGCCTCCAGTGATGTATGTGCCGATTGGATTACGTGGTCCAAGAAGGCACAGTCTTAAGAAATTAAATCGTTCGGGATTACATATTACAATGATTTTCTCTCTCTTTTTTTAACAAATATTAAAATTTTGTTGAAACTTTTGAGATGGATATGAATATTAGGATTATTCTATATAAATATTCAAGAAAGCTCCAAATCAGAATTGTTTAAATAATCAATAATTATGAAAGTATATATAGCTTGTGTTTTTTTAATGAAATATGTATGATACTAAAATATATAAATAAAACTAATTTTGTCACATAAACGCATCTTAATACAAAAATTAATAATAGTAGATTCAATCAAATTTTTGATTAAATTATAAATATCCTAAAATTTTGTGCTAGTAAGAATAAAGATCTAATCTCTAGTAAGATTAATAAAATTTAATTTTTATCAGGAACTCCTATTCCCAAGGGACTTCACGTGAGACATAATTTTGCAACTGGAGTAACAGAGGCTAAATTGATGGATGACACAGAAGAAGATGATGAAAATACAAACCGATCCAATTCCAAGTCATTGACACTACATCCAGATAAGTCGGTTCTAGAAAACGAAGAGCCGGATTCTGTGAAAATAAAGAAAGTTTCAGAATCTTTGAATTCTTTGAAATTTCCTATCGATGAATTGAAAGCGAGATTGAAAAAACTTAAGCAAGATGAAGCAGAAATATCAAACATGAATGTAACTATTTTTTTATTTTAAATATCTATTTTAATCTTCCGCCTTCAATTTGGGTTTTTTAGCATAAACAAAAAATTTTACTTTTAAATTTGATCCTCAAAATTTTATTCTATTTTTGCTCAAATTTTAAATTTTGTTAGATAAAGGTTTTAACATTTCAATTAAAAACTATTTAATAATGTAACAGAGGAGTTAACTGAATTTTTGAAAGCCTAGAACAATGAAAAACTTGGGATAGATATAGATCCAAATTAAGACGTAAGAAATAAAAATGTGATTACAGACAGAGAATTAAGAATTAGAAATTTGCAATTATTGGAATTTGGAATTGAAACAGATTAACACATGTTGTATCTAACAATTGCAATTATGTTTTTTTTTGTTCGTTCCATATTTTAACATATTGCATTGTCTTGATTATAGATCTAAATTATATTAATAATTGTTTACCCAAATGTAAATTATTTTTTATTACAAATTTAGGATTAATAAGTAAAAATTTAAAATTTATTATATTTTTCTTTTCTTTTTCATTCTAGAATGGAGAAACTCGACCAAAAACTGAGAAACGTTTTAAACGTTTTTATGAAACTTTGAAAGAGGAACTTAATGCTCTTAAAGTTAATGTTACAAGCGATTCAGAATTATTAAAAAGGTTTTTCCAGAAATTTCAATCTTATAAAAGTAGTATCACTACAGGAACGTTAATTAGTATAGAGATTGAAGAAGTATTGGACATTTTAAATAATTTAGAATATCTTCTTCATCAAATAGACAATGCTAAAATATTCTCAGACATGGATGGGTAAATATGAATGAATATAATTTTTCTTGGAGATAACAATTTATCAATACAATTTTAATACAATTTTAAACTTTTTTTTGTAGGCTGACTAAGATCATATCACCATGTCTTAATGGAACTAATAATGAAATAAAATCAGAAGCATTACGCCTTTTAGGAGCAGCCGCCCAATCAAATCCAAAAGTGCAAGCTAAGGCATTAGAAAATGATTTTATTCAAAAAGTGTTGCACGTCTTGTCTACAAATAATAAAATTGAAGTAAAATCCAGATGTCTCTTTGCTCTAAGTGCCTTAATACGCCAATTTCCTGCTGCTCAGAAAGCTTGGATTGATCATGGCGGTTTGCAGTTACTTGGCAAGATTCTATACGACGATCAATTACATATACAAATGAAAGCAATGAAACTAATTAACGATTTAACAATCGAAAGACGAAACCTAGAAGAAATTCATGATGCCGAACAGCGTCAACAGAGAATGAGGGAGTATGCTATTACAGATTTTGAGTTAAAATTACTGAGGCACGATTACTGTAAACTCCTAAGCAACTTAATGGTTAAATGCTTCAAAGAAAAGTTAACTGGCCAATTTAGCATAGAAAATAACGATTTTCTCGAAGTAGTCTCAGATAGCATGATCACGATATCTCCTATTTGTAAAACCGAATTTAAGAATATTGAGCTTTTGCTTTTACCTGTTATAAATAATCTCTTACACTTTTATCAAAATCTTAATATTAAACTCACTGTGGATGAAACAGACATTTTGAAGAGTTTAATATTACTGATTGAAAGATTAAAAGAAACTATTTTTGAAGCACCTCATGATGAACTATGAATATGAATTAATGTCTAAGGTAACTAAAAAAAATATACGAAAGTATATCAAAGATTATAAATTAAATTCCAGTCTTATGTTAATAGATATGTGCAATAGAGCATAGAGTTTACTTAATATGTATTTGTCAGTGTAAAAAGTTTTGTCAAGAGAAGAAAATTAAAATTATTGTCGTAGTAATTATTAAAAAAATCTTGAAAAAGAGAATATTATCTGCAGATGAAGATGATTAGCTACAATTTCCAGATCTTAGGAAAAATCTAAGTATAAAAAAGTATTTTGTTATTCTGTGTTTATTCTATTTCTACTGTAAATAGATTGTCATACTTACAGGATTGATCAGTGAAAAAATGTGGTTCTCGTCTCTTGTATCCAAAGTATGAAATACTAGTCATTAGATGTCAGTTAAATTCATTATTTAATTCATTGTTTAAATGGCATAGTAGTTATATTTATAGCGATTTTTTCGTTGTAAGAGTCTTTCCTTTCTATTGGCCTATCAAACACATTAAAGGTCTGTATGTTTTTCCCTTCAAGAGACGGGAACTTTTGATATTTGATTTAATCAGCTCAATTAATATTTCATGTATATCTCATAATTATGTGAGGAATAATTGAAAAATATCATTTGAAAAGTAAAACGACTGAGATACATGTACATAAAATATGTATAAGACTTTAGTTATATATCTGGCTATCACATAGCAAGTATAAATAACTTATATTTTTTGTTTTAGAAATAATTACTTAATAAATTATTTTGTACCGATTATATGCCATATTATCTGAAAGTTCCTGTAGTATATATATTTAATATAAAAGAAGTATAAAATATAAACAATCGCAGAATAGTATATTTTATTTACAAATCATAGCGAATTAGAGATTACATAGATATGAACAGTTTCATTTATATATAACTGTATGATACATAGAAAATATTTTTGTAAAAGATGTTAATTTTAACCAGTTCCCCAACTAGGGTTTCTATTTACAGGTGCAAGAAAGAGCACTCTTGTATCATGCATTTGAATGAAATAATACCTTGTTTTTTACCTGTTAAGTACAAGGGTTGCGTTATCTTTTATAACTCATAAAGTATGAACATCACGCATGATACACGAGGCTACCGAGAGAAAATTACAACAGCTAAATTCCTTCTGAAAGTTCTGCTCGTCTTTATAAATTGAAAATTTAACAAAATTTATCCCGTAGATATATTTATCTACATTTTATATCTGAATTATAATTATATCTGAATTATATGTCTAAATGTCTAATGAAATACGAAGCTCGATCTGAAAAAGATACGCAATAGATATCTTTTATGGATATACAATACTTAACGCAATGTATAACTATGTCTTTTGATATACTTTAATCTTAATGAAAATATATATTATCACCATGTAATTTTTCTTAATACCGATAAAGATGCAAATATATTGGAGATTTATGCATACTTTGAATTTTTCCTGGAGCTTCCTTTTTGCTGTGAATATTTATAACAAAATATAAGAATACATTGTGAATATTTAATACTAATTAGTAAAGACGTAGACGAAAGGAATATAATTAATTTCATTTTGTCTAGTCTACTCATTTAGACTTTAGTCAAAATCTTACGTCCTACGCACGATTTTATAAGTTTTATTAAATATGGTTAGAAAGGTTGCTATATCTAAACTCGGAATTTATCAAATTTGAGAGCAAGAGAAAAAGAAAAGAGTTTGTATATTATTTTATTATAATTAAATTACATTATTTAATTTTAATTACATTACAATGAATAGAAAGGAACTTATTTAATGCCATTGTAATTTTTTTCTTCATAGCCTCTATATGTACATACATGCAATTGTTATTACATTATTAACTGATAACTAAATTGATAACTAAAATAACTATAATATGAATTTCTGTTGCAGTATATAATTTATGACAGACACGTAAATATATGAGTTTTATCATAAAGCAATACTGATATAACCTAGTATTCTTTCTAATAAAATAATATCAATTAAAAATTTTATGATTTAAATTAAAGAATTAAAAATTTGGATAATATGAAAACAGCTTAGGTTTATAATTAACTTTATACTTGATATTAATTATTTATGAAAATAGCTTATATTTTGAAACAAATATTCACAGCACGAAGGAAATATTAAAAAATTCAAAATATGCATAAACCTATAATATATATTATATATTCATATATATAATATATCTCAGTCATTATTACGAAAAATCATCAATACTTCAAATTAAATTAAATTTTTAACTGGTATTCAATTGTTTTATTATTAGAAAAAATTATTAGTATACAAACTGGAAAATAATATTAATATTATCTTAGCTATAACAAATTTCTATATTTATGTGTCTATAATATAAATTATATGAAATATAATAATATTTTTCATGTCATTTTGTCATAACGTAACAAGTAATTTAATTCTGACAAAATAATATACAAATTCTTTGTTTTTGCTTTCGCTTTTTTTTTCTTTCTCTTTCTCGTTCCCCCTCCCCCTCTCTCTCTCTCGCTCACTCACTCACTCACTCACTCACCCCTTTCTTCCTCTCTTTCTCTATAATATTCACTGAAAGAATGCAATAATCTCAGACTACTATTTCATCAGTGCGTATTGAAAAATATTCTTAGTACAAAATTTTTTAGCCCTTGTTGCTTAAATGTTGTCGAAATGGAAATTGATTATCAAGAAGGAACAACAACAATAGACTCTTTTATGTATGATTTAAACAAAAATTATTTTTACTCAAAATTCAAAATCATGATAATCAAAATAAGACATAGCACTCTTGTACATGGCGTCACAAATGCCTTAATACGCAAAGTTGCGCGAGAGAAGAAGGTATAAAAAGACATACTAAAACGTTAAGGCATTTGTGACGCTGCACTGTGATGTACAGATGGAAATAGGAATGCCTTTACATGCCTTCTTCTCACTTCTTCTCATACGTTTTTTTATACGCGTGCAACGTCACGCGTGTGTTAAGGCATTCTCCATATAGCGCAAGTCTTCTTTCATTAAATAATATAGAGAGAAAAAGTATTATATAACTTTATGGCAACTTCAAAATATTGTGTTGATACATATCGCTGTGTTGAAAAATGATACACATAAAAAAATTAGAATTTTTTTAGATGAGAGAAAAATAACTCTGAAAAGTATATATTTATATAACTATATTAAGGGATGAAATATACTGTAGGATTGTATTAAGGTTGCAATATTCAAATTTTGAAAACTCGTAATATAATTTTAAAGATCATATTATAATTGAAAGTATGGAAGAAAAGAAACTGCATATTCACTATTCTAATTAGTGTTGTTTCAATTCAGAACTGTAAAAATATTCTGTATGAAAAGTTGATAATTTTGAGACATATTTTTCTATCAACTCAGCGATAGCACATAACTGAAATTTACTATCAACATAATAGAATTTCTCTGCATAACTAATAGCGAATTCGATTGTATACACTAGTGCATAAAATTAATCGTCATACACAAATTAACATAAAGATAAGTATTTAATATAAATGTAACGAAAGAAACGAGTTAAATCGCGAAAATTCTATTAGATTTTATTGTGCTGTTTAAAATATGTATTTTATACACACACATGTATCATTTAAAATATTTATATTTTATTTTATACTCAAATAGATTATTGTATAACAGTTTTAATACTGCGGCAATTGAATTCGCTATAATTTTTTAATGAAATATATTTGATCTAAATAAAGATCAGTGCAGCCATGATAACAACTCCCAAAAGTAAAGCGCCAAATTGTTTCAAAGACTCTTTTATATTCGTTTCTTTTAACAAATCGGGTAGGATGGTTACTAAACCAATATGTATGAATCCTCCTGCGGTCAATGGTAATATCCAATTAGTTCTTTCCTCTGAAAAAAAAGATATAAATTTTACTCAATAAAATAAATTACTCAATAAAATAAATTACGTAATAGATAATAGATACTATTAGTAAGATTATTTATAGTATAGAAATATTATTTCAAAAATTACTTGATACAATGAAATAAATAAAATTAATAAAATGTAATGTCAAAAATAATATCAAAATTTTTATCGTTAAGCTTAATAAAAAATGCAACTATATTATTATTAGATTAATTTATTATTTTGCATTATTTTTATTTATTTTTATCTTGCATTATTTTTATCAAGTTTTTTATGTTACAAATGTATTTTATAATTGTATTTAAAATAAATTTTATATATTATCTTCACAAATTTTTAAAGATATTATTTACCTAAACTACCAGAAAAGGAGACGGCTGCCAAAGCACCAACGATTCCACCGCCAGCCGTGATTAACTGCGCCCGCACAGCACCCCATTTACTAAATCCACTTCGTAATAGAATAGCAAAATCGCCAACTTCATGAGGTATTTCATGCACCAAAATAGTGAACGTACTGAGGACACCTACACGGAAAGAAATTAGGAACGATCCACCCACGGATAAACCGTGAGTAAAATTGTCGAGGAAATTCATTAAAAGATTTAGATATCCGGGAAAGGCTTTGGGATCGAAAAATTTGCGAAACAAGTCGAAGGTGAATTTCTTTGCCCATGCGGTTAAACGATTAACAATATTGTTTGGTGAGCGTACGCATGGAGAGTCAACACATGAAATCACTGATGTGAAGCCATTAGTCTTCGCGAGTTTCTTCAAGCAGTTCTTTGCCTCGTCAACCAGCGGACCATCATTAGGACATTCGCTTGCTAATGCAGATTTCATAATGTCAGCCTCTTTAAAACCATTCTTTCGTAGATCTTTGATACCATTCAGCATTTGAGCAAACTCTACTTTACTGGATTGTTTCTCCAGGAATTGTACCTATCACAGAATACATTCGGTTATTAGACAATTATATAATACGTATATAGAGGTTTTTTGGCAGAACTTTACCAGCTATACTTTAAAAACAAGAAAAAAATGTTATATAAACATAGACTCATAAATTATTTTATTGAAAAGTTATAATGAAAATACAAAAATAACAACAAATTGCTTCTTTATTCGATACTATGTAGAAATAGATTGCTTATTATAACTCCATTTCAAAATATTGTCCGTCATTACAAATATAAAACTGATACCTACGAGAAAAATAGAATCTATTGCATTATTAATTTCTTCTTGATTTTTTTTAAATTACAGTAAATGCATCACGAATTTCTTTGCATTGGCTTCTGACGTGTATTAATTCGTGTTTGATAAATTTTTTCTTTCTCCATAAATAAAAATCCAATCGCGCGATATAGTTGATCTAGATGATTTTGGAGGCCAAAGAATTGATCCTCCTCAACCTTCCATGAAGGTAATAATTATTTAACCATTGTCGTACTGGTGCTGCATAACACTGTGCTGCACAACTATTTAATTAAATCCATAAATTTTGATAAAATAATAATGGAATATCTCCTACCAATTCTGGCTGCAATTCATTTTGTAAGAAATCCAAAAAAGACTGTAATTAATCTATCAGTAAAAAGTAAAGGTTCGAGAGTATGATTGTTGCATATTTCCCGCTCATACATTTCATTTGAATTATTATTGAAACCCTCTCTCTGAGACACTATGATTTTCATATCTCCATTAATGGTTATTATGTATATTTAGAACACTGACTCTCGTAAATATTGCTTCATGCATCCACAAAATATTTGACTGAAAATTATTATCGAGGATTGTACGTACATACCATTCACAAAAACGTATCTTCTCAGTCTGTCGGTAAAAGATGTACAGTGGTTGTGTTATGGATATCTTTCCATCACATATAGTGTTCACCAGATTATAGATCTGGATATTTGTAGTTGATATGAAGCTCGTCGAATACTTTGTCCCGAATCATTGTCAAAGACGTTTAAGATTTCTTTCAGAGCGATTTCGATTACATTGATCCATAAAATTGATGTTCTTATCTTATACTATGAAGAGCCTATTTCATGAATTCTTATGAACTGACTGATGTGATACTCTCCTTTGAGGGAATTCTCGCTGATATTCTTTTACAACAACTACAGCATTTCCATTACAAAAATCACAAATGAAATGCATGTCATCGCATTCATGAATCTAAAAGACTCGCGGTGTGATATGATATCATACAGAGTTCTAACGCATTATTAGTTTTAACACAAAGTCAATGATTAAGTCAACGACCTCAACAAAGTAAACAATAAAATTTGTGTAAATATTTAGCAATGTATTCCTATGCTATGTCGATGAAACATCAGTCCATTATCATTTTGTATTTTTATTATAACTTCAATAAAACATTTATGAGCTTATGTTTCTATAACATTTTTTTCTTGTTTTCACTTGTAGAATATGTTGGTAAAATTTTTCCTAAAAAAAACTGGAACACCCTGTATATATATATATATATA